GATTAGTTAGATCACAAATAACAAAACATAGAGAAAAGATTTTTATATATGAAAGATGTCTAACATACTTCAATTCAGCAAAACAATTAACGAATCATGAAACCGATTGTAAAGAAAAAAAAATAGTAAAGATTGAAATGCCGGAAAGACCATTTATTAACTTTAAAAGAAGCGATAATATAAAAAAGATTAGGATTCCGTTTGTGATATATGCTGATTTTGAATGTCTAACTAAGAAAATGGAAACATGTCAACCAGATCCATCTAAGTCTTATACAATGAATTATCATCATCATGAACCAATGAGTTTTTCTTATAACATAAAGTATGTACATGGAGAATATAAGGAACCAGTTGTATATAGAGGGTCTGATGCAGTAAAAAAGTTTGTAGAGATGTTAAAAAATGAAGTTGAGGAAATCGAAGAGATATATATAATAATATTAAACCATTAATTATGACAGAAGAAGATAAAGAACATTATAAAAATACTAATATCTGTCATATATGTGGTTGGAAGCTATCTGATAAAGAAAAACAAAAAGAAAGAAAAAAAGTTATAGACCATGATCATTTAACAGGAAGGTATAGGGGTCCAGCACATAACGAATGCAATTTAAGATATCAAAACCCTAACCTTATACCAGTATTCATTCATAACCTAACTGGATATGATGCTCATTTATTTGTTAAAGAACTTGGATATGATGAAAAGAAAATTGAATTGATACCAAACAATGAGGAGAGATATATATCATTTACTAAGAAAATTAGATAAAAAGGAACTTAGGTTTATAGATTCATTTCGATTTATGGCTAGTAGTATTGATAAACTCTCCGGTAATTTGAAAAAAGAACAGTTTAGAGAAACATCTAAGTTTTTTCCTAATCACCTATTAGATTTAGTTATAAGAAAAGGTGTTTATCCTTATGACTATATGAATTCATGGGAGAAATGTGAAATGATAAACTTCCTCCAAAACAAGAATTCTATAGTATATTAAATGAATGTGATATAACAGATAAAGATTATGAACATGCTCAAAATGTATGGGAAGCATTTAAGATTAAGAATATGGGAGAATATTCAGATCTGTATGTGAAAACAGATGTTTTGATACTAGCAGACATCTTTGAGAATTTTAGAGATATATGCATGAAAACTTATAAATTAGACCCAGCATGGTATTACACAGCACCTGGATTATCATGGGGTGTAATGTTGAAGATGACAGGTGTAGAATTAGAGTTAATAAGAGATTATGATATGATTTTGATGATAGAAAAAGGAATAAGAGGTGGAATCTCCCAATGTTGTAAGAGGTATGGAAAGGCAAATAATAAGTATATGAAAAATTATGATAAAAACGAGGAATCTATTTGATGTATCTAGATGCTAATAAGTTATATGGATGGGCCATATAACTTATTTACCATATGGAGGATTTAAATGGACTAATTCAAATATAGATGTAACAAAGATACCTGATGACTCAAAGATTGGTTACATTTTAGAAGTTGATCTGAAATACCCTAAAGAAGTACATGATTATCATTCTGATCTACCTTTAACTACAGAGAAGAGAATACCAAATGGATCAAAACAATCTAAATTATTAACCACATTATATGAAAAAGAGAAATATGTTGCTTCATTATAGAAATCTTAAACAATATTTTAAAATGGGGATGAAATTCAAAAAGATACATAGAGTATTAGAATTCAAGCAATCAGATTGGTTAAAGAAATACATAGATCTGAATACAGAAATGAGAACTAAAGCTACTAATGATTTCGAAAAGGACTTTTTTAAACTAATTAACAACTCTGTGTTTGGAAAGACAATGGAAAATATAAGAAATCATGTTGACATAAGATTATGTTGTGATGCAAAAAAAGTAAAAAAATTAATCGCTAAGCCGAACTTTAAACATCTAACCATATTTACTGAAAACCTATATGCTATTCACATGTATAAGAAAAAAATAGTCTTTAATAAACCCATCTATGTAGGAATGAGCATATTAGATCTTTCGAAGCATTTGATGTACGATTTTCATTATAATGTGATGAAACTTAAATATGGAAATAACATAAAATTGTTATATCAGGATACGGACAGTTATATATATGATATAAAAACATGATGATACTTATCAGGATATAAAGGGAATGATTGATTCTTTGATACATCTGATTATCCTGAGAATAATCAATATGGTATACCGAGAGTTAATAAGAAGGTGTTAGGTAAAATGAAGGATGAAAATAATGGAAAAATAATGAGAATTTGTTGGTTTAAGAGCAAAAATGTATACCTTAAAAGTAGAAGATCAGGTTTCAAAGAAATCAAAATGAGTAAAGAAATGTGTTGTTAAAAATAGGATATCATTTGATGATTATGAAAACTGTTTGTTTAATAAAACAGAACATTCCCAAACAATGAATCTAATTAGAAGCAAGAAACATGAACTTTATTCAATAGAAGTTAACAAGAAGGTGTTATCATCACATGATGACAAGAGATATATATTAGAGGATGGAATTAACACATTAGCATTAGGTCATTACAAAATAAAAAGAGATTGATTTTTTTCTTATATAAATGAACTCTAGAATAAAGAGGGCTATCAATTGGGATAATTTTTCAAAACGAGAGAATTTACCAGAAGATTTAATAAGAGAATTTAAAGATAGACTTAATTGGGATTCAATATCTCAAATCAAAAATTGTCTGAATTTTTTATTAATGAATTTAAAGATAGAGTTAACTGGAAAAAAATATCAGAACATCAAACCCTATCTGAAAATTTTATAAGACAACATGAAGATAAGGTTAATTGGAAACTCATCTCTAAACATCAAATATTATCTTCAGAATTTATTCAAGAATATAAACAAAGTGGATTGGGATGTTATATCTCAATATCAAAAATTAGATAATGAGTTTATTATTTGGTATTAATTCAATACGGTGGGAAAAAAAGATTTTACTATATTTGGAAGGATGAAAGAGGGTATTTACATATCTTTGATTATGTTGATACTCCTAATAGTAGATTTTTATGTACACCACAAGGTAAATTTATACATATTGATAGTTTCCTATATTGAATTTTTTAAAACATATTAAATAAATTTTTCCCTATATAAATGGAGACAAAGAAGAAAATAAACAATATTGGTAAACTTCAAAATATTCCAACAAAGAAATTAATCGAGTTGGAAATTGATTATGAATATCCAATTGATTATATTAAAACAATATTCACTCGCTTTGGTGATAAAAAATTACTTCTTAAGGATGAAGAATTTCAAGTTTTTCTTCCGGATCGATTCAATAAAAAATTAAGGGATGAAGATTTAGACGAGATGAGTAATTTTAAATTTGTATACAGGGGTATGAGAGATTGTGGAAATAAGTATAAAGCTCATATTATTGAGTTTGTTTAACTTTTTTTATATTTTCTTTTATTTAAATGGTTTTAAATAAATAAAAGTAGGAATCACTAGATTTCGTCGGTGTTAATGTTTTTTATTAAGTTTAGCAAATTTTAATATTGATTTTGATTAATTTTAGCGAATTTTACTATTTTTGTAATAAATCAGCGAAATTTCAACAGTGTTTTTTTGTTTAAATTCAGTGAATTTTTTACTATTGATTAGATTAAATTCAGTGAATTTACTATTGATTTGATTAAATTCATTTAATTTTAAAGACTAAATTTTTGGGGCAGAATCCCCATTTTTATACTACTTATATATTGAAAGAAACATATGTACAGTTACAAAAATTTTGACAAATAACAATTACAAAACATCAGATGTTAACAAAGTTCCAACACATGTATCCACTACAACAGGTCCGTCAGAAAGACACCTTGCGACGACAAACTTCTAAAGTTATTTACCTCACAGTGAGACTGATGGTGCGATGACTTTCAATCAATCCGCAGTCAAGTTTCCAAAAATTGTCCGATTGCCATTTCTATGGCGACAACCGTCGTTCATCAAAAAATGGAAAAGCGTGGAAAATCATGTGATGGACAATTTCATCCCGACACAGCCGAGGTTCAAACTGAGCTTACTTAAGCCTGTTTGATCCCTTCCACAACATTCGACAAACTTTCAAAACTCGTCCGATATCCACCTGACCCATACTTCCGGAACATCCAGGAATTTTACCCGTCTACGCACAGAGTTGCCTTTGTTACCGATGCCTAATAACCGCTTTCGCAAAGCTAGCGAAATCCAGTATGGGGTAACCATTTCGGGATCCACCCTCCAGTAAGTGTCCAGATGTTTTTCTTCTTCAGTCTACTACCGAAAAACAAGTGGTATTCTTTTGGCACGTTATGTGGCTTGGTCTATGCCGATGTCAGGAGATGCGGAGAAACTCCCTTAGCTTTCACGGTCCATCGTCTACGATCGTGTAGCTGTCGCTTGGCCGGAGTTCCAGCCAGCTCCCCGAAGCCCCCGTCAGAACCAAGTACCACTCCTACAGTGAAACTTTGCTTTTGGTATTTCCGGAGTCGATCTACAAGGATCCATCTTGTTTTTCCCTCTTCTAAACTGATACGGTAGCTTCCCTTACGTTCTAATTTTTCTACCACGGTAGGCCCTTCCCACCGATCATCCAATTTATCATCTGGGGAAGACTTTTCCACGAGAACCGTATCCCCGATGTTATATTCCTTTGGCCGTGCTCTCAAGTTGTAATGCACTGCATACTCTTCTTGCTGTACGGCCGTGTGTTTAGTTGTTATATCATTGACCGCTTTGATCCGATCTAACTTTATACTCCTAACTTCTAACATATGGGTCATTCCCGCATCAATCCTGCAGTGAAATTTGTTCCCTGATTGCAACCAATTAGTTCGGGGAAACCCGTTCGCATAAAAGATTGCAAAAATACAGAACAAGTGGCCATCACTGAAAGTGCTCTCATCCCTTCCACTTCGAGCCAACGGGTGCATAAGCTGATTATGCAAATCGCATATCAATGACCGTTAGATGGAGAGGGATCAAACGGTTCAATCATGCCTATCTTACCCACTTGAAACAGGGTTGAGGACCGAGTAAGTGGTGTAATTGGGGTCCTATCTAGGACTAGATCAGGCGCTCTTACTAGGTACCTATGACTTTTCTGGCAGTATTTCCAGATGTCAGTCGCCATTCCCGGCCAATGGAAGCCCTCGCAAATGCAACCCGTCATTTTCCGACTGCCTAAATGTCCACTGCACGGAGTTTTGTGCACTAAATCTAACACTTCCGCTCTCCGTTCTTGGGGAACAACTACCTGCTTAATGGGCCTGCTGAACCAACTATCTTGCCAATATATTATCCCGTCCTCTACAACTAGCCCATCTTTCTTATATTTAGCGGCCTGCCACAATCGGGAAAGTGACTCATCGTGGACTTGAGCATCTCGTAATTCCATTCCTTTCCCATTTTCGACGCTATTTACACTGCACTCCGCCTCTGAGAGAGGTTCCGGCTCCTTTTCCTGATGGTTTCTGTTCCCATCTACCCTTAAGCTCCTTACATACCTTCCTCCCTTTCCCTGGAGCTTCTCCTTTCGGTCTACTAACATCCGGGTAATCTTCCTCCGATAACAAGGCATCCGTGGTCTGGTGTAACTCGTCTGTTAAGGCACACGTCACCAGTTCCGACCTTTGCGACCCTGCGAAGCCTTCCTCCCACAACCCTATCGGGACCGATACTAACACCGCATCGATCCGGTGACCGAAGGCTCCAACCAATTGGATTTCCCCTTCGTTTCCATCACCGAGGTAGGTACCAATGACCCCCTTATAACCGAAATCTCAGCTCCAGAGTCAACTATGGCCAAAAGACAATTTCCACCACATGCCAATTTGACTCGATTCGGGGCTTCTATAATCTTTGGTTGATCATACGACGTTACCCTCGCTACTAAACGTCTCTCGTCCTGGGATTTGTTACTAGTAGCCACAAGCCGCGCCTGTTTAGGCTCACTATGTGCCTTCCGTTTCGAACAGTTTCTCCTCCATTGGTCCGTTTTCCCGCAAACATAACAACCACTTTTGTGGGATTGTTCATCTATAGTCTGCGTCACGGGACTAGATTTCCCTTTCATCTCTCTCCACGAGTCCCTTTGTTTGCCGTTTTTCTTGCTTTTGGTTGGGGACATACTACTTGACGCCTCTCAAACTTTTCTATAAACCTGGTCAATTCCGCAGGTTTGTTCCATCCCTTCCCTTCCTGTAATATCACATATTTCTTCACGTCATGAGGTAAGAGCGTCTTTAAGTGGTCTGCTACAGTTAGCTTAATGATTTCTTCTACTGTCCCCACCTCTCTACTATCTACGTAGTACTTGTAAAGGTCTTCCAGACGCGATGCAAATTGAGGCCCCGTCTCTCCTGGGTAGTGTTCCACCTGTCTAAATCCCTTTAGATATTCCGCAGGTGAGTCTCAACTCTTCAAGAATAAACTCCTTCAAGGAAGGGTAGTGTTTGACCTTATCCACTGACAATCTTGTCAGCGTCGCTTTACATCTTTCGGATAGCATGCTCAAAACAATTTGTCCCTGTAACTCTACTGGGACCTCATAGGTCTCCAAAATTACTTCGACCATACGAAACCAGGATGGTACTGCCTCCTCCTCTTCCGGCATTTTAGGCAGTGCCGCCTTTACTCTACAACTGCAATATAATATACGATAATATCTGCAAGGCAAATTTTGACGATTACGCTCTTTATGAGCGTAATCGTCAAAATTTGCCTTGCAGATATTATCCTCTGCATCTCGGGTCCCCTTTTGTAGCCTATCCCGCTCTAACTCAATTTCCGCTATCCTCACCTTGGCCTCAGATTCGATTTCCGCTTCCCTCACTTTGGCCTCAGATTCTATTTCCGCTTTCTGCCGCTCTGTTTCCGCTGCCCTCACTTTGGCCTCAGACTTGATTTTCACGAGCTCAATCCATAGCTTAAGTGCTTCAATTTCCTCTTGAGATTCGCCTCCTGGCACGCCTGCCCTGCGCCCTGTGGTCGGCCCATCATCTTCCCAATCTCTTGTTTCCAAACCCCGCGATTTTGCATGTCTAGGCATCTCTGTGCTAGCAAGTAAAATAAAGATTTACCTGGGTCAATGATTGCCGGTGTTGTTCTTTCCTATGTCCGTCGCAGATCAGCCTTTCCGATCCGTGGTAATCCAAAAGTAATCCAAGGTAATCCAAAGTAATCCTGTCGAGACTGTGCCAGTCAAGTTCAAAACACACATACGCCAGATAAATTCAAAAACTTATATATATATTGAAAGAAACGTATGTACAGTTACAAAAATTTTGACAAATAACAATTACAAAACGTCAGATGTTAACAAAGTTCAACACACGTATTCACTACAACAGGTCCATCGGAAGGACACCTTGCAACGACAAACTTCTAAAGTTATTGAGTTAAACTTCTAAAGTTATTATTATAAAGTGAGACGAAATAATCATCTAGGTCAGCTTAGGCTAAGTTAGAACGACCGTGAGTTCCCTTGATATATCCGAGACGAACTAAAGTCAAACGTGAGTCCACTTCATGTGTCCAAGGCGAACTAAAGTCAAACGTGAGTTCCCTTCATGTGTCCAAGGCAAACTAAACTTCCCGCCACAACGCAATCCTTTCATACAAATTGAAGTACATAGGCTTCCACCAATCAGTGCTTAGTAGCGCTACAAGACGTCCGCTGATAATCTGATGTCTTTCAACCAATCTGCGATTGAGTTTCCAAAAGTTGTTCGATTGCCGTTTCTATGGCAACAAACGTCGTTCGTCGAAAAATGGAAAAGCGCAAAATTTTGTACTGTGAGTGTCTGTGGATTTTCTGCCTCTTGTCATCACCACCTTCAATAGACTTCCTATCTGAACTATTCTACAATTTCTGGACTTACGTCGAATCAATGAACTACAGTCGACCCCCTATAAGATATAGATACGTTCCAATTTATTAGGAATCCGATTTCTTACAAGTCGTTCCAATCACAGCCCGACACGTGTCAAATTTACGGACTACAGCTGATTGAAAGGTTTTCTTCCATAAAATTAATCGATTCTACACTAATCCGACTCAACATTTCCAAAATACGTATATTTTTTCGTAGTTTTATAGGAATCGTAACTATAGGGACCGTAATTATAGGGGGGGTCGACTGTATTTCAACGAGCCCGGGATCCGAACTCAAAGATAGTCAAGAAACTATCCTGTACGATTAGAGATATCTATCCTACTCGCGATGATATGTAAGCTCTCTCTCGACTACTTTCAAAATGTGGTTAGGGTCGCAACTATTATACATTGTCAGCTACCTTTCCCGAATGGAATTACCTATACGGAATGTAAACCTGGAGAGAGATATGTGCTCTCGAACCCTTAAATCTTTAACCATGTATATATGTTCTACAATAAACGGGTATATTGTAATAACATTGGATTGGTGTGCATTTCTTCCTACGTTACCACCTCCATTTCGAACCAGAAATCATGAACGAGATCACTCCTGTTAAATCGACCTCACTTAAAAGCGTATCTACCTGCCAATAAATTGATAGATTGGTGTCAGATCCTGACATGAAATAAGATCTAACAATCCTAAACTCTATAACCCTTCCGCTCAACAGAACCCATACTTTGGACAAGCAAGACAATGACAATGGCATTTGGAACGTCAGTGGAATCATGATCAACATTCCAAATGCCATTGTCAAACGTCTAGGCCTACAGGAAGGTGACGCTGAATGTCTGACAAACACGTTTTTGCGTTTAAAACTTCAGCCGCAACCTCTATTAGCAACAGGACTACATTTTGAATTTAGTGGCAGTGAGATCATACTTAATTAGATGACATGACACTAATCATCAATTATTTTCCTATTTAAATTAGATTTCAACATGCATGAGGGAAAGATACCACTTCCATTCTTTGGTATGTGCCAGTTGATTTTAAATGAAATAAAAATTGCATTTGACATTTATATAATACTAGCTGCAAGGACCCGCTTCGCTGGGTGTTTATTTGTATGTAATATAGTTTTTTTATATATATAAAACACTGTTTTTCTGAGTAATCTAGAATCTAGCTGCAAGGACCCGCTTTGCTGGGCAAAAAGTAACGATAGTAAAGATTAAGATGTTTACATTATAGCTAATCTTACCCGTTTTCACAGAATGCTAGAATTAGGTCCCCCGTTTCCAGACTAATCAGAAAATTTTTACGTTTAGTCAAACAAACTATTTTCAACATTTCTGAAACGTTTACAATCGTTCTATAATCGAACCAATATTCAAATTTTATGTTCAAATTTAATTCGAACAAAACATTCGAAATAGAAAGCCACTTTCAACTACTTTTAGCCTCATATCTCCCGCACCCTTATAGCTATCGAGACGCAACCACCCCTATGCATGAATGGAGACTTGGGGCTACCACCATATACAAACACCATTCACGTGCGACGTGTAGTTTTAGTGAAAAAGTGAAATATAGGGACATACATGTCCATTTATATATATATAGATAAACAAAGTTTAAGGATGTGTTTAAATATGCTTAAGTTAAGTAAGAAAAATTTATTAACATTATATATAAATATTTCATATTTATCATTATAACATTATATTGCATTTGTACACATTTTTATGCACGAAATACAGTTTTTAAAAAGGTGTAAAAAAATTAATTAGTAATAATACTAATTTGGAATCAGGAAAAGATTAATGCATTTTATATTGTTTCTTATGGGAAAATTTGTTTTAGAACTTTTAGGAATGAATTATGTTCAAAAACCAAGGTTTCACTGCATAAGAAAACAACAGGAAAAACTTTTAATATAACTGAAAACTTTGCAATATTTACACAAGCACAAATAAGTAATTAAAGTAAAGGGTGCATTGATTAAAACTAAATTCTATTCAATGCAGTTTTCACATGGTATTAAATGAGAAAAATAATTTGTATATTTCATGTACATATATTTAATCTCTCTTTTTGACTGCCATGCTTCAAAATAATACACTTTCTACTAAACATTTGGGAAGTGAAGACTTTAGAGTGTTGAATAGTCTTTCTGCTGCTGTTCTCAGTGATTTCAATTTGATCAACTCTAATGCAAATTGTATTAGATATTCTCCTTTAAGACTTAGTGCAAAATTAAGCCTACAATCCTCACAAAGCCTATTTTGCCATCATCACAAAGAAAACTGATTGAATATCACCTTTGGTTCGAGTGCCATACTTGGTCATTTAATAACCAGTAAGTCGTGTAGCTTTAATAGTGTATTCGGTAGTGTACTGTAACCTTAGATTTAGTTAATTTTAAATGTATGTAATTTTTGATCATAAACCTGACTACCTGTCATTTCTTGGACCTATTCAACATCTCACTTCACTTCCCACTTGACTGTTTAAG